AAAAAAAAATATATGTTTATTCAGAGAAAGTACGTTTTTGTGTCTGATTTCGTAACTTAATTAATAGTTAGCACTAATTAATTAGCATATTTGAGGTCACCCCCAGGAACGATTGACACTTAGTTCGTGAAAATCCGATCATTAGAACGAAAGTTATTCAGGGTGATATCTTTTTTTTTTGCGGACTGTACTACGTCTTTTAATAAATGATCTTTAGAAAAAGTACATTTTGGTTTCACTACTTAATTTTTGACCAAAAAAAATTCTGACCAATTAATTCAGATGTTTTTCTGATAGCAAAGAATCATATTTCTTGATAAAATAATGTTTTTAATTCAACGTAATTTACTATTTTTGGAGAATGTCTATTAGATTATTAAATCTAGAAGAAACTTTACTAATTTAATAAAACAGGATGAGTAGCCAAATTATTCAACAAAAAAAGCACCTTTTAAGCACTCAAATAATATTTTTAAGCAATTTTTAAAAAATATCATAACTAGGCAGGGTTGGAAGTTTTTGACAATTGACGGTTTTATCTGGTTTTAACCGTCATGTCAAAAAAAAAAAACTTCTGCCATTGACAATAGTCAAAATTTTTAAAATAACGTAAATCAAAAGGTGTTTTCATATGCTACGGACTGACGATGCCCCGAAATAGATTGGGATTGAATTAATTGTGAAAACGTTGAATAGAAAAAGGTGAAGTGTCTTTCTGCATAATTCATAGTTAAAATCAACAGGGAAAATTAAGCACTTTTTAAAAACACCCAATGAAATTAGCACCTTAAAGGGCTTTAAAAAAACGAAAATAGGCACCCTTAAGCACTTTTTTAAAATGCTCCGCACCCTGTAAAAAAAATTTTAAAGTTAACTGAGATTATCTTAATATTTTCACATATAAAATTCATATATACATACCACAGTAACACCTTTAATCATATTTTCAATATGAGAACAAACTGTTCGTACAGTGGCCAATTCTTTCCTTATTCCAAACCATTTCTGAATTACAATCTTATCTTTGCCAATAACCTGCATATCAACTTGTGCATGGCGGAAACTTTTTCTCAGCAGACCACGAGGACCTCGAACTGTTACAATTCGAGAATTTACTTTGACATCCACTGTAAAAAAAACATTCAGGTATTTTAAAATCATACATAAAATTATTTTCAGACTTTGATGCTAAATGCTTTTGAAAACATTAAAGATAATATTGTATAACATCAGATATCTATAAGATAAGACAGCAACTTTTTAAAAAAAAAATTTAAAAAAAAGCTAGACATGGAGAAATAGCATAAAACAGGGTGATTGTGACAAAAACTGAAAAACCCTGAAAATTTTATATGTAAAAACTAGATATCAATATAATATAACTAATTAAACTAGACATAATATAATTTTTTGCCCACGTAAAATGACATCAAAACTTTAAAGTGAATACTTTAAGAATCATTGCATTGGATTTTAAAATTATGAATTTAAATTGGATTTTAAAATTATGAATTTAAATTGCGATTTTTAAATCGTGTAAATACGAAAATCGATGTTTGATAATAAAATTGCGGGAATATGAACCATGCTATCAGCACAGTTTTAAACATTGAAAATAAGACAAACCAAAGGAATGAAATTGGTGGCCTAATTATCGTAATTTTTTAGAATTTTTAAAATTTAAACTTCAGATTGTAAAATTCTAAAAAAAATTTCGGCGGATTATAAGCTTATAATTTGCGGGACTTAGAACCTATGGTTTTGATTTACAGAGAATTTAAATACATAACTTTTGGGGTGCTTTTAATCGAAAAATTAGAAAAAAAATTTACTTAAATTTACTTGTGGAAGTTTACTTAAAATATATTTAAAATTTTACACATACCTATGTCGACCTGGAGAAGCAATTGAAATTTACAAATATGTCTCTTCTGAAGTTTATGATTATCGTTATAACTATTAACTGATAAAAAATTAATATTAATCTTGAATATAAGCTTATAAAGTAGGGGTGCACAACCTTTTTGAGTGAAGGGCCACATTCACAGCAGATTGACCAATGAAGGGCCGCATACCAAAGTATTTAGACAGATATATTAACAGCAATTGTAGGTAGTAATCATTATATAAACACCATTGTTCTCGGCACTAAATTCTTTTTGTCAGTCAACCTTGTAATATGTTTGCATAAAATCAAATACTTTTAAATGTTTAAAATTGGAAACTGCAAAACTGATTACTTAGGAAAAAAACAGAATCAGAATTTTTTTTCCAGATAAATTGAAATAATTAAAAACTATGGGAAAAAAATTTTTTTTATCATATTAGATAATAGAAAAGTCAATTTAAACATAAATTTTAACATTAAAAAATTTGTTCACAGAATTAAATTTAAAAATAAATTTATATTCATTTAAAGAAAATTTATGTACCGTTTCTAAATTTTCCGTAACGCTAAAAATGAATTATTTACTATATAAAAATTACGTAAGAGTAAAAAATCAAAACTGGCTGTTGACACCACTAATTAATAACTGTTAACTCTTCAAAAAATAGCCAATAGAAAAATACGCAATGGTAAATTTTCATGACTAGCTCTGTTCAGGGTTGGGTTTTTGACGTCAAAAAGTGGTTTTTGACATGACAAGGGTATAATACTGGTTTAAACCGTCAAAAACTGAAGTTTGCCAAGAAAATATATAAACTTCAAAACTACCAACAGTTGCCATTGAAATTTAATTATACTATAGGTAATCAGCAGGTTTTAAAATATTTTTTAATTAAAATTAATGTATAATAACAGTTTTAAAATCTCAGAAATTGATATTCAAATGCATGTGCAGAAAAATTTTGCACAAAAATTGTTTAAATATTTATATTTAAAAAATTTTTTTTTCTTTTTGATACTTAAGAAAATTAAAAGTTTATTACTATGCATTTTTGACATATAAGGAACATATAACTAATATTTATAAGGAACTTACAAGTTATGTTGTATAAATACAAACTTGATACAAGTGTATAAAAAATTTTTTTTAATGTTATACCGAATATCTTTATTATCCAGTATGTTAATTTGAATTTAAAAGTAGTTATATTTATGAATAATGATAAATATAATTCATATTGTTTATTATATTTATTTATAATTATTACACTTATCATTTTAAAACAATTTTTATCTCTTAATTTTTTTTTCTCCACTTGTATTAAGAATACAAATAATGCATATCTTGAAAGCAAGAAGTAATTATTCAACAGCTGAATATTTAGATATTCAACAAAACTATATAGTATTCAGCAAAATGAAATTCACAAGTATTTGGATAAACTAAATTTTCAGCATAGTAAATGAATAGGCTGAATATACTGTAAATCGACACTAACTACTCTGTGTATTTAACAGAAAGCACTTAAATTTGTATTGTCTTATGTTAAAAAGATTATTAAGAAGATTTAAAAGAATATTAAAAAGATTTTTCTTTAAAAGATGTCTAATGTACAAAACTGCTAATGTTTATCTTTAAAAATGTCTAATTTTTAGTATAATCTATACTATACACTAAATTTGGTTATAAATAAATTTCTTAATAATATCACTGCAGATTTTCAATAACACATGAAAATGAATACATAATATTACAAAAGATGTGAGCTTTCAAAAGTAAAAGATTTTGGTTACTATTCAAAATATAAGTGTTTCTTCAAAATTTTAAATTTATTTTTTCTAGAACATATTTAGAAACGCTATCCTTTTTAAAAAATATATAAATTTTATGTATTAATTAAATTTCACAAATGAATATAGGTTTTTGACATTTTCGACAGTGAGGGTGACGGTTTAAACCGTCAAAAACTGTCACATGTCAAAAACCTGACAACCCTGGGTGTTTAATAAAATTTTCGTTTGTTGCAACAGATTTCCCGTAAGAAAGCGTACCCCCGCTAAACTATTCCCGTAATCCTGGGGATATGTGTACCACACTTTGGGAAACACTGTAGTAGGGAATACACTTTAACTTTAAAACATTTATTTTAAATTAATTATAAGATGCTGGGGCTGAGAGAAGGAAGAGGAAAAAAAACATTAATTTCGAAAAAACTATCTTCCTTAATAATAAAAAACTATTAAAATACTTGTTTACAACTTATGACAAAAAAATTTTTAACACGACACTATTTAAAATTAATACACAAATATAATTAGCAATTAATTAAAATTTACATTACTTTACAAAGCTTATCTTGATTACATTGTCCTACAGTTAAAATTTAATAATAAACAAATCATTTCCCACCATATGATCATATATGATATAAAATGGTCTAACTTGGTAGAAAATAGTTTAAAAAATTTCTTATTGGTTATCCTGCTATTTACAAAATTTTTATCATCTTTTTCGAGTCATTAAGTGAAAATCTAATGATTTTTTTCAAAGACTGCTCTGTAATTTTGAACGGGCCAAATTCATTCTGGAAAACAGTCGTCCGACCGCAGCTGTTGTTGTGGGTAGCATTAAACTTAATCAGTTTTGGAATCTGTCCCATATGGTGTTTTTTCTTTCCTGATTTTAAAATTGTGTGAATACGAATAGCGATGTATTATTTTTAAATTGCTTGACTACGAATTGCTATGTGTGATTTTTAAATTTCGCAAATAAAAAAAACGTTATTCGTGGATTTCAAATCGCGTGAATACGAATCGAGATGTGTGGTTTTTAAATTGCTAGAAGACTCACAACGCATGATTTTTAAAACGTGTGAATATGAATAGCGGTATATGATCTTTGAATTGCGAGAAGAGTAACAGTGTACGATTTTCAAAACGCCAGAACACGAATCGCAATATGTGATTTAAAATCTGGTGAATGCAAACAACGATGTGTGACTTTTAAATTGCGAGAAGAACCTTAAGGTGTGATTTTTAAAATGTGTAAATACGAATTGCGATATGTGATTTTTAAATCATGTAACAAAAGAATGAATAGGTTGGGTGTGTGTTGTTAAACTTGCACGCGTTCATGTGACTAAACAAATATACACGTGCTTTGAATTATTTTTTTGAAAAAGAAACCGCGCTTTAATATAAATTTACACATCTCGCTTTTTTTAATCTCTTCGGAAGGCGTCGATTTGGCGAAGATGCTTAATTGCTTTTTAAGTTACAAAAAAATAATAATAATTAAAACGGAATCGAATTTCACGAGTTGTAATATTGTGTTAAAATATCAGGATATTCAAAATCACAAGTAAAAGGCAGCAATAACAGGAACGGAAAACACGGTAGAAAAACCTCATATATTTATGTTAAAATCGGCATAAACCTAATTATTTTAATGCACGATTCAAACCTCCCGTGCTGTCAAACTACAGAATTAAAAATATCAGAATTTTTTAAAATCATGAGGAAAAGCATAATAACTAATAAAAAATTAATCAAAATCCTTTTACATTTGCGATGAAATCAGTGTAAATAAAGCGAGTCAACAAGTGATGTATTTAAATGCGGGATTCGAAATATAAAGTATTGCAATTGTGTATAAAAAAGATTAGGACTTTCAAAACCTTGTAGAAATGAGTAGCAATAATTGTCAAAAAAGCAGTTGAAAAATAATTTGATTTGTGATAAAATCAGAGTAAATAAACCACGACAAAAAAATGGTTATCAAGATAAGCGATTCTTTACTCGCGATAAACTAAATTTTCAGCATAGTAAATGAATAGGCTGAATATACTTTAAATCGACACTAACTACTCTGTGTATTTAACAGAATGCACTTAAATTTATATTGTCTTATGTTAAAAAGATTATTAAAAAGATTATTATAAATTAAAAGATAGAAAGATTTTTCTTTAAAAGAAGATGT